ACCATTCCTCGTTTCAGTAAAGTATATTATTAGTATATATCTTATATATGTATTTATGTATATATTATTTGTATTTATGTATATATTTTCTAAATTTATATATCTTATAAGTATTAATGCATCTTTACTAAAAGTTACTTATTTATCTTGAATTTACGTCCTATTTCTTTACACCTCCGTTTTTCATAACTGCTTTTCATTCTTCTTCATCCAAAGGTTGTCTGGTAGAAATAGAGGTAGTATCGCTGTTAGCGATAACACCGCCAATTGCTACATCATCGTGTTAAGTATATTTTATTTGTAAATTTCATATAAAAAACTTTGTAACTGTAAAAATGGTGTGATAATAAAGTATTATTATTATTATTATTAATATGGCTTTCGCCATTTACGCCATGACTCTAGACGAGCCGACCTTCATGAGGTAATTCCGCTGGAGGGCGCGCGTGTTCCATTATTTCGTAAATATAATATTGTTTAAATATTCAAACGATAAGTTATCCTTAAATGACTATGTTAATTAGCCATCGCTGTTATTATGTAGTGAAACACGCGTAGTTAATTTAACACTGCTTTATTTTTTTATAAATGATATACCCTCATACATTTAACAAGTATACCATATAACAATATACATACTACAATCGACATCTTTGAAAGAATCATAATTTTGTAACAGCATATATCCAAAAAGTTTAATGAAAATACAGTCTAACACCAGCGTTTGATCGTAAGTAAATAATGTCACATTTTTTTCGATTAAACACTGTTGTACTTCGCACTAGCTTGTATGGGCTAGATCCTTTGTCTTTATTAAAAAATAAATAAAATAAAAACATGTGTTTTTGACATTGACATCTAAAAGTGCTAAAAGTTTTGATTTGTGTGATTAATTTAGCCATTTTTATTAAAAAATTAATAATTTATTTACAAGAAAACATACCTAAGTGTCTTTTATCGTATAGTCAATATTTTTACAGCTATGTCATGGATAATTTCCAAAAGAACCCACTCAAATTATATATTCAAGATATATTTCGCGCCAAACGAACTGACCAAAACAAATATATCTACGAATTTTTGGGTATGACTTTTAAAAACATCATGATCCACGGCGTAGTGACAGCGGTTTACAATTCATTTAAGACAAGCCTCAACTTTGAGTTAAGCGATGCAACAGGAACAGTGCAAGTTTACTATGACAAAACAAAAAGCAACATTAATATAAAAGATGAATCTATGAAGGCGTTATTTCGTGATTTTACCGAGGCTTCCAAATTTGGTGATAATAATATACAAATTATGAACACACTTATGGACCGTATTGTGATGAAAAAAAATCATGAAATCAAAGAAGGAATTTTTCTATTAGTCATTGGTGATGTATTTGTTGATGATACACGAAATGTCAGAATGGTATCTGCATTTGAATGTAATGAGACATCAGTGGAACGTGATGTTGTGTGGATGGAAGAATTAACATACATTTACAACAAGTATTATTTGTCAAGTGATAAGAGTGGTAGTTGAATAGTTTATAGTAAATTTAGGATTGCTTATTGTAAAACAAAGACAAGAAAAGACTGATTATACTTAAAATGATGTTAATAGGTGTTTAAACGTGTTATTTAGTTGTTTGAACTTCGAGTTCACTTAACTAGGTTATTTAGATCATTGTTACAAAAAAAAATGTTATAAAATCATGGCACAATTATACTTTTTAATTAACAAGTCTACAGTATTCATTACTCTTTTTTAAATATCAACTTATATTGTATATTTCAAATGTTGAAACTAAACTTTACATAGAATTTTTTTAATATTTTTAATATGAACATTTTAAGCAGTTACCTTTTAAATATGTTAAATTGAATCTTATTACCTACTTAGCTATTATATGCCAATTATTTGGTAATTTATATCAATTAACTTAATATTGGAACTATTACTAACGCTGCAAATTTTATTAGTTTATCTGTTTACTCTAGTGCAGTGGCAGACTAAGGTGGGGGAATGGGATGGCCCGTTCCTGGCCTCTGGTCCTGTAGGGCTACCAAATGGCTGCAAGTTCCCTTCATCAAATCATAAATAATATAAGTACATAAGTTCATAAGATAAATAAGTACAGCATATAGTGGTAGTTTACATTTTTTAATTGAATTTACTTTTATTGTATTTCTAATAGCCAGTTTAAAATACTACAGCAATCTAGGGAAGGTCAGGGGGATGCTGACCTGGGCCTCTGATAGGGTTAGTCCACCAGTCTAAGGCCTTTATGTACCTAACGATAACATCAACCAATTACTTTTAATATACATGTTATTATGTAATGAATAAAAACTTAACATAGCATACATGTCTTTCAATGTTAATAGGGATCTGTGGCCGTGTAGTACTTAAATAAAGGCAGGTGGATAAGAATATGTGAAGTAACTGAAATACACTTAAATACACTCATATCATTGTGGGCATATATTTATTAGTTTATTTATTTATATATATATATATATAAATAATTCTATGAGGGTATTTTCTATTATTTATTTAAATTACTTGCATTGAAAAGGTAAGTAAAAACTATATATTGGTGCTAAATCTATTTTACCACTCTATAAACTAATAAAAAAATTTAGATCTTAATTTGGAACTTTAAAAAAACGGATGTAGTTTGGATCCTGGATAAAGTAAATTTTTTATGAATTTTATATCGGATTAATAATAATTTAAAATTGTAGTGCTATAATTTTTTGAAATGAAGTTGGAAATCAAACGGTGTATGAAATACATCGTAATAAGCACGGCAAATCTTAGCGCTTCATAAATAAACTTAGTGTTAGTAGCTTATTTCATTTTGTTATATTATTTATTATTATTGATCCAATTAAATTCTAAAGAATCATCAAACCTCAAATACAAATGTTTCATTGTTTTGGTTGTATATATATATAAATATATATAATATATAATAATTTGAAACACAATAATGTTGACAGTTAGGAATGCAACGATATATCAGATACCGATATATATCGATACGAAAAACCTCAAAAACATTGATAATAAAAAAAACCAACATATCGATTCCTTATACCTATCAAATGAAGTCCATACAATGCATGTTCACACATTTGACAAAATATAAATGGATTTGACCTCTACTGTCATTAAAATAAAGTTTATTGAGTTGAATTGAATGGAAAATATGACGAGCAATTGAATGTATATCAGTTGTCCAAATTAGTGGTTAGTGTTATAGTTATTTTGCGAACGGCTTGAATACTGTACCTCTAGGAGTTCAAGAAGAAATTCGACTTTTTTTTCTTTGATTTTTTACTAAATTCTGTAGTTGTTATTATCACCAGTGAAGAAGTTTACTATTACTGTTTTCCTTTTTAAAATGAAAGCATAAAAAAAATCAAAATATACTGTGAAAAAAAAATTACATAATAATAAAGTTATGGACTTTAAAGTTGCGCTCCCTAGAATAATTTCGCTTCACGAGGAATCTCAGCATGTGATATCACGTTGCCGAACATGACCGAAAGGACACTGCTCGGTAGTATTATAAGTTCGTTTTTGAACATCGCCTTCATCTTACAGTCGCGTTTTGTTTATTACTCGATAAAGAGCACTAAAAAATCTTCTGCTATTATTTTATTGTCCCTATATATTAAAGAACAACAATAAAAAAATCAAATAAAATATTTTTTATAAAGAAATGAAAATTCTTAAAAATTCTCAATATGTAGGTATAGGCCTACCCTACATATACCCTAACCACAAATCAGACCTTAAGAGGTACCCAATAACTATTATTATCTATGCTATTAAGTTTCGGAATAAAGTGGCTATGACATATTAGCGAACGCACAGACAGACATGACGAATCTTTAGGAGTTCCAAGGTTTATCGACTAGAGTGCAAGCTCATTTTCATTAGTCGATTGGGTCTGCATGTGGTGTGCGAACTATCACTTAGTTTATTTTCAGTGGGAAATCATGATCTGTCATTGGTTTATCCACTACTGTAAGCACATTTACATTGGTCAATAGGGTCCGCATGCGAACTACATGACTTCTGTGCTTATTTTCAATAGACGGCCATAGACTCTTATGGGTTTATATACTTGTATAAGCTCATTTACATTGATCTATTATGCCCACATGCAGAGGGCGGATGATTTCTATGCTTAAAATGTATAGTTTTAAATTATCTGTAATTTGGTCATTTAAAATTTGATTTCAGATTTATTTTAGTTTTGACTTATATTTTTATGATGTTATGTTAAATATGATAATATCAACATCATGAAAGTTCCTCATTACTGGCAGTTATGTTTTTTATAATTATATGTAATCGGGTCTTGTTCGTGCATTTTTAAAACTATTAATTACACATCATCTGAAAATCTGTTAAGTTATTATTACCGGATTACCCTCACGCCTCAACTAAAATCAGAAGACGACGCCCGCCAGTTCTCCAGTTTCCTCGTGACCACGGCTGCTGTAACGTAGCCGAAACGTCGAGGTAAATTAATAGTTTTAAAAAATGCACGAACAAGACCCGATTACATATAATTATTATGTATACAAATCGTATGAGTTTAAAAAAAAGTTATGTTTTTTATTTTATGATAAAACAACAATACTAAAATGAAATTTATTTACACAACGTTTTTGCAAATTAGATTTTTTGTATTTAGTGCAAACCTAAAAAACATCATAATGTTGGCTTTGTCAATTGAATATATCGATAACGACTGAAATCGATAAACTTTTTTAAACCGATATTTTTTTTTATAATTGACAGTTTGCAAGCACTAACAGCTTTTGACGTTTCGTTTCATCGTCGGCTTTTGTCAGTGTGCATTTTTTATATTTTTTACATTTTAATAAATAAACAAGGTGAATCTTTAATTTTTTAATACAGTTCCCTACATGCTTATTCTTATATTATTACTTAAATTAATTACTAAAGCATCTTTTAGGTTAGAAGCTTGAATTATATTTAGAACCAACGTTGCATTTATTATTGCAACTTTTCAAATTAATTATTTCAGAATCATGTCTGGACAAGGTATTTCTCCCGAAGAGGTGGTTTCACTATGTCAAACACCGGATACTTCTACAAGAGTAAGTTTATTGGTTTAATGTTCAGACGATAACGTAGCCTTAGCAACAAGTTCTTTAGAAAATTGATTTCCTATCAGTAATCTATCAATCTAATAACCTTTGAGACGTATGAAAAATAACATTTGTAAATTAACGATAGTAATGCAATTATTTACCATACTAATACTAATTTAGGTACTATTTATGTAGTGAAATATAATTTTTAATCTTTTAATAAAAGACAAACCTGACTGGCTTATATATTGAAGTGAGAAGTCTCTTTCATTTCCATGACATAAAAGATTACAAAAAGAGATAATTAAACTCACAAAAGTTAAAGCTAATTAATTGGAGGGAAGCACTTTAGAATCAGCAACTACGCCAACATGCACCATAGGGGCGGTGCCCACCCTTCCACATACCAAAGTGCAGACTAGCATAGCTAAGAAGAAAAATGAAAAATAAAATTCTATTACTTTATCATCTAGATAATTAAAATTTATACCTTATTTTATCGATATTAAAGTTTTATTTTCTTCTGAAAAATTGCCAAAATATAATTCTATGATATACAAAACTATGAAGTCCAAAAACTTTTACTATTTAAAAATAGCCTCAAAATTTAAGAGAATCGCTATTATGCTTCAAGATTGACTTAAATTTCTAACCTACACATGATCTAAAGGGCCAACACAATTTCGTTTATTTGATTTCTAACTTAATCTAAAGGTGAAAATAATCTAATCTTGAATAATATTTTGTTATCTGTTTAAAAAAACTGTAGTATTTGGATATATGCATATAAATCCCTTTGCCTAGTCAGTCAAGACAGACAGATTTGTGTAAGTTCATAAAACATTAAACAAAAGTACAATTTTATGTATATTCAAAAAATGGTCTTGAAAACTAACAAACTACACTTTAACACTTTGTAAAAGTAAACCTCTTTAGCATCTGTGTGTATAAAAAAAATTTCAACCCAATCCAATATACTAAAACTGAGCCAATTAGAGTACCAAAAAAGGAATTTTGATATATTTTTATTATACAGGGTTTGTGTTGTGTGGTTAGTGAAAATTTGTGTTTTATTTATGTACTCACTGTTCAATAAGTGATCCATTAATTAAAATAAAATAAAAATATGAAGTGGCTTTTTATCCTATGTTTTTCTATTGTTTTTTTTTTTACCTTTGTATTTCAAAACATATGTGTCAAATTTTATAAGTGTGTGTACAATAGAGAAGTAATTATGCAATTAAAATTGTGTCTTAAAAATAATGTTCTTTTTAAATATTGGCATTGCCCTTGTGGATTTCGCCATAATCCAGTGTTTCGCTCAGTTTGTTTCACAATTTATAGACTGCTATTTTTTTATTAAACTCTGAATTTCAAAAGCTATTAAATTTTATGACAGATGAATTACAAACATTTGTTATTACTCGTTATATAATTCATAGGATGTTGAGGGAAGAGGAGTTAACATACCTTAGAATGGTTTTAAATTGTGGGTTTAGGTATATATGAGGTAATGATATCATACAGGGAAGAGGGGTATATTGGACAATTAAAAAAAATTTGGTCTAATGTTCCTTCATCTAACCAGCATTCACAGAGTGGGCTGACTATGATCCTAATTTTTGCTAAGGAAACGGGAGTGTTTGCATTATATTATTAATATGTTGGTCAGCTTGTATTTCGCAGATTAGACATTTAATTTTCTATTAGATTAGTTAACTTGTAACTTGGGGAATTCATTCAAATCACTAAAAAAAGAACTAAATAAATCATAAAAAAACACTTTTAATTGAAAATTCTCAATAAGCTTTCACTCTAAGCAGTATGACTATAAAATTCTCAGTAATAAAAATATCTTAATTTCATGTTCATGGTCATTTCAGGACTTCATGTTCCAACAAACAATGTACCGCATTAAGGATCCAAGGAAGTCGATTCCATTCTACACAGGGGTGTTGGGTATGACACTCCTCAAGCAACTTCACTTCCCAGAGATGAAGTTTTCTCTGTTCTTCATGGGGTATGAGAACCCAGCTGAGATCCCGCAAGATGAGCAAGCGAGGTCTGCGTGGGCGTTGACTAGGAAGGCTACTTTGGAGCTAACTTAGTAAGTATAAAGTAATATCTATGTCTTCTCAACTTGATATCTTAATAACGTTTTAATAATATTATAAAAGAAATCTAACCAGAAATCTAAAAAAATTGAATAAATTCATAAAAATTGTTTTATCTAAAAAATGCTTCTAATGTTTTACCTTGTGCGATTGAATTAAATAAATATTATGATGATGTTGAATTATTCTTGTCAATACAAGTTGTTTATCACTATTAAAATAAAAATATTAATAATATTTTGTTACTTATCATCATCATCAGTCTTAGACGTCCCTAATGCTGGGGTGCAGGTTTTCTATATGAATTAAATCTAATCATCATCAGACCTTGGTCCGGAAAGCATCCAGTACCAAAGTCCTCACAAAGACACATCTAACACGATGCAGTTGTATAATTTCATCACTAAGTTCCCATGAGCACCTCCCGACTTCATCATCACATCAGTTTACTGACACTATATTGCATTGTCACCTGACTTACATGGGTTAAGGGGGTCAAATTTGAGTTCCAAGATAAGCCCACTAACACGGATTAAAAAAAAGACATCAGTAACATCCCAGCTCATTAATTGATTTTGGCTACAGTAACTGGGGTACAGAGAGTGATGATTCAGCTTACCACAACGGTAACAGCGACCCGCGCGGGTTCGGGCACATCGGTATCTGGGTGCCCGATGTGGAGACAGCTTGCGTCAGGTAAGATTATTATATCTACACAGGAACATTTGTAAAACACACTAGCTTGTAGGAGGGGCCGGTCAAGTATTAAGTAATGTAACTTTTTAAGATTTTTGACCCTCCTTCCCCCCATATAATGTGCTGTAACGTTTTTTTACCCCTAATTAATGACGTAACACTCAAGTCAACAAACATAATGATGGATCGCTGGCAAGTCAGTCTTGTGAGATTTTATAGGCCGCTGATACAAATCTCTCTCTTTTGAGGACATCACGGTATGAACTCACTTTCAAAACACTGACTATTGCGATGTTTTGCCAACTTTGGGAGATCTTGATTCCCTATTTTTTTATTCAATAAACCCGATGTTGCGTAACGTGCTGTACAATTGCGGGGTCTTGTAAAACGTTACGATGGGTGTTACGTAATAATTACGGGATTTTGTAAAACGTTAAAATGCCTTTAAATTAGAGGGATAGGAGGGTAACGCCCCCTGTACACCTAGGAGGCGTGGCTTTACGTAATAATTGCGGGGTCTTGTAAAACGTTACGATGCGTTAGAGGGAAGTAAAGTTGAGTTTTAACATTACTTTGAGCAAACAGCAAATTTTTCTTATAGGTAATAAAATACTGTCTTACCATTTGGGTGTCAATGTATCCTGAATGTATCCGTAGTTAAGAACGAGACAGTAAATACGAATTAACGTATTCGCGATAAATTTGTATATTTAAATTTGATAATATTTGTAACAAATAACATATTTAAATGCAATGTAAATCACTAGTATAATAAAATATATAAATAAATAATGGCCATTATCGAGTAATAATCTATTGTAGGTTCGAACAGCAAGGCGTTCAGTTCATCAAGAAACCTCAGGACGGCAAAATGAAAGGTCTCGCCTTCATTCAGGACCCTGATGGGTACTGGATAGAGATCTTCACAACCAGCGTTGTCTAATTGTTACCTTGCGGTTATATGCTCATGGAGCACAGAAAGATGTACAGATGACCTTACACTATATTAATAGCAAATGTGTTCTCTAATTGAACTAAGGTACCTACCTAATAAAGCTTATTGTTTTTGATAGTTGTAAAGATCATATCAGAGAGGAGGGAAAAAGGAAATTTAGACCTATTTTAGTTTGGATTTTTGCACTCCAGCATTCAAGCAGCAGCAGTGGGCCTTATTAGGCGTTACTACGTTATATCTTAAGAACCAAACCCAATCACTGGTCAAACTAGGTTCCTTTTTCTGAGTTCTCAGAGGCTTATCCACTAATATCCTCACCTTGCACTCTCTCTTGGGGGTTAATATAATACAGGAAGCCATATTCGAGTTGCCAGGACATTTAGCCCCCCTAGGTCAAATTAGTATCCTAGGTCAAATCAATTCATCATTCTGCATACACATTTAGCCTGACAATCTAGTTTTACAGTGTGCCTGACAATTTATTTATTGGACTATTGCGAGTAGAACTAACAAATTATCGGTCCGGCTATGTGAAAGTTATTGTTATGTTTTCAGTATGAGTTGCCCTTCTTTACATGGGAACGTATTGTCCACACTCTTCGTATTTTCCCGCTTTGCCATTCCATTATCTTCTGTCATGCGTTTCCTTTCCCCTGTACCGTTGTCCTCTTATCCTTTCAGTTATAAATTCCACGAATAACTATTAAGAAAAAATTAACCAGTAAAAAGCACGTTCAGGTGATACAAAACTATCAGATTTCAGCATTTGATTTTAAATTTTCACACTTTGAAGATAGAGATCAATTTCAATTGCGGAACCTTATATACAGTCGTACACAATGTGATTTGCTGTGGTAATAAGAATTAAACACTAGTGCCATCTGTTAACAGTCAGAACACCAAATAGTGACACCAATAGTGGTGATAGGAAGTGGATATAAGCCGGAGACGTTAGTTCTAGTACAAACGATGAATATGTGATATTATAACATCTTTCTGTGTTCTATACAGTTGCTCAAATATTATAGTCATAGCCACAATGGTAACAGTTTATCGGTGGTTACGCCACGTTAACCCTTAAGAGATATAGTTCAATAATACGCCATTGCGATATATACAGCCAAGTGCGTCGCCAATTTGTAGCTATTAGCTACGCCGCATTATGTTGTGACATTCAGTTCAGTTTTTACAATATTATAGATAAATAATAATAATACTTCTGAGTTTGTTTTTAATGTAGATTTTATTTTAATAATATTATTTATATGTTATTGTCTATTTATTTATTTAAGAAAATATAATATTATCGATATAAAATATAATACTATAGCTACAACACTTAGTCTCCAGCTAATCGACGATCTAAGAGGGCTTAGCTACTTTTTGTAGGGTATAGCTACGCTATTGGCGACATCGTTATGGCGTATTAATGAGCTTTAAAAGACAATAAATAATAACCGCGTAGGTTTTTCAAGCCTATATTTTATATGGAATTATAACAAATTATATTTTTATATGGTAGTTGGACCGTAAATAGCTAAAATGAACAATAGTATAATAGACATACAATTCTGTAAGCACGCATATTTAATTATCATTATACTATATCAGCTCTTTATATTTTAGAAGCTTTATATATTATAGATATACAGAAAATATACATTTACTTATAATTATATTTCTTTATTCGAATTTTAAACAAACATCTTAAATTCAGTTTAATATTTCGAATATACAAAAAAAACTAAATATACAGACGACAGCACGTCAAATTACTACGAAAAGTATCGCTGTTACGATACCGATACGGAAGAAGGAAAGTTCAAAAGAAGTTTAATAACTAAAATAATCAACAATTAACAGCAAGTATCGAAAAATAGAGATTGGCATAAAATGCAGAAGAATCGAAATCAAAAGAAAGGAGTGATGCTGCTTTTATTTTCTCCATATCCACAACATAGTGGTTTTCAAATAGAATCTGACATATCAATCATGTTCATAGAATTAATAGCAATATGTATAGCGAGCGATTACGTCTTCTATCGGAATATATCGGAAAACTCGTAATATCACCTCTATATATATCCGTATCGGTTTATGTATCATGAATGTGCGTAACGCGTGCATGTACGTCATGCGTGCATGTACGTCATGCGTGCATATATGTCATGCACGCATTTACGTCATGCGTGCATGTAGGTCACGCGTGCATGTGTGTCATTTCTAGTAACTCGATGTTTTGCTGTGTGTATAACATGTTTTTTTGGACATTGAATGACATAGAACAGTGACTTTGTGAAAAGCAACACTTAATTAAATATTTCCTAATTCTATGTGTGTTATTACGACGATGTTTATAATAAAGCATTCAACAATAAGTTTGTTTTTCAATATTGTGTTTATAAATGCAATGTACTTTGTATATTTTTTTTTCGTTTGTTATAAGCTGTTATTGGCATTTGCATAATATATATTATATAACCAAAATTTATGTTAAATGTTTCTAGTTATGATACATAAGATCAATGTAGATTTAAGTTATATTTTATGTATGTTATGTAGCGACTATATTATGTTACAAACGTGTAGGTAACAGATAACTGGTTTATTTTATACTATCAAAATTAGTCAATTGATTTTTAGTCTTATTATCTTTAGTATTAAATTTAAATTTGATTGCGGATTTCTTATGACATAATCACACAGTTGCTGAATTGAGAATTTGATGTTGAGCACGTCTCAAACAGTGCTTAAGCCAACTTAAACGTCACTTAAACCGGTTTTCATATCTGATTTAATTTTTTTAAATGATCAGCGGTTTAATAAAACTAGGACCATTTGCCATATGAAATGTAAAAACTTAATTTGCTGAGTATAGTCAGTTGAGATTATGTACTTTTCTGAATTCAGAAACAGGCCGAATGTGTTACTATATGTACCAATATTGTGCAATTGTTATAATAATAAATATGCTCTTAATATTAAGAATAATTTGTAAATATCAGAAATATATTGAATTCTTGAATATACTGTTGGATTTACATATTTTGTTTTAATTACTTTTCTATAAACGTTACTTTAAATATATGTGTGCAGAATGCTAATTATATATATATATTTATTTATGTACTAATTTTGAAGCGTGTTTGTTTGAAATACAAAACTTTATTTCTTCAGACGATTTGAATCTTTAAGTCGCTGAGATTAGAGTTCAGAATTGACTGTGCAAATTTGACTTTTGTTATAACCAGAGGTCGGAATTAGGTAGAGTTTATGTACTTTCATCGAAATGTTGATACTAATGTGGACCTTACCGGGATTTCTTTATTTCTTTCTTTCATTGATGTAAGTTTGGCAACGTCGTGCGTGCAGTAGTTTAAATTGTGTAAAAGTAAATGACTTTTTATTTAAAAAATCACGGGATTTTTTTGCTCTTTAAAATTAATCTCGGGATTTGAGGCATATCCACTTTATTCTTTCGCTGTATGAAATCAGTGTAAGTAAATACATGAATAACTCTACCTAATTCCGACCACTGGTTATAACGTAACATGGAGCATGTTATGTGTACTACCGACAACAGATTAAAATACCATTAAATATATTCTTAATGCTTAAATTATGAATATTCTTAACCATTTTGTCCCTGGCACTCGAAGATGGAACTCGAACCTATGACCATTCTTAATCCGGAGATGAAGTGGATTTTTTTAAGCAATTTACATTAAGTATATTTTTCAGTATAGCATTGTGAATGAAAATTTGATCAAATATAATAACCGTTGAATATTTTAAATTATATATTAATTTATGATACAACAATCGTATATAATCGATAATTTATATAATCGGTAGATAAAAGCAAAGATAAATCGATGTTAGCGTCTCTGGCAACGTCTTATTACAAATATTAAAAGAAAAATATTTAAAGAAAAGCAAAAAACCCGACTGCGAAATCACGAATTTAAAAAAATATTATTTTCACGTATTTTTTAAAATTCGTGTTTTCACAGTCGGGTTTTTTGTTTTTATTTAAATTATTTATTTTTATTTTATACTTTTTAGTTATCTATCGAGCTTGGTGGTAAACTTTTTTTTTACTCGGCGACTTGTTGATGAATAAAAGTATTTTTTTATCAAAATTATTTGTTCTTCATCCTTTTTCACTGATTTTTTTTTTTGTTTATATATCGTCTATACTTTAAATAAAAACTTAAATCAATAAGTAAGAAAATTAGCGAGAATGATTGTTTTGTTAAATAACTTTAAATCGTTATATATCCTAAACTATTATTTAAAATGAAAAATTATAAAAGGAACCTAAAGATGATTTTAAAATACCTATTCAACGACACCCCACTTGACATAGTACATCGATTTTTTTTTTCATTTTGACAATATGGCGTCTGGTTGTCGCTGTGGTGAATTTTGATTACTGTCATGTCTTTAGTGACTGAAGCATTTCAGGTTCCTCTGCAAACAAAATGAAGACAGTCGCTGCAATTTAAGCCCCTTTTAGAAGATAAATTGGTGCGACCAGGGGATCCCTTTTTTTTTTGACGCTGAGAAATGCGTTACGCATACCCGCTTCGCCCTGCGCGGGCTCCACGGGTGATGTGGGACTCCTCCTGTGGCCCCACCCCCAAAAGGGGGCTAGACAAGATACAGAAGTTTACCCACTAAAACTCAGCGATGTCCCTCTCATGGTGGGCGAGGCGCGGGATCGGCCTGGAGGCCATACACACTAACATTACACTGAAAGGTATCTATGTATTTACCTGTCGAATTATCTATATTCTAAGTCCTGAACCCATAAAAGAATATGGATGAGACAAGTGTTCGAACGACATGCACTTTTATCCAATCGGAGATGTCCTTCCATATTTTCTTGTGTTTGAGGTTTACTTGCAGGCTTGACCATACCAATTCGTCTTCATAGCTCAGGCTCACTGTTGCCATTTTCATGACTACTGACAGTTTGTAGTCCAGTAAAGTAACTTTTTCTGCTAAGGAAATTATAGTACATTTATTTACATCACATGACTGTCTTTGGATCACCAACTTTCATTATGTATTTCAACTAAATTGTTCTAGAACTTTCATAGTTTTATTAGCTGTAATCAACACGTAAGAAACAGACAAGACACATTATCGAACATACAAGATTTCCGATTTAAACTTTAGAAATACGGAACTCTAAATAAAAGAATAACTTACACACGCAATATAATAAATAATTTTTCATAGAATCTATTAAAATTTCGTTCCATTTCATGCTTCTATAGGAGCCAATTTATATAAAATCACATGTGTATATAAAAATATTATTATTTCCAAATACGTTTCTAATCTGAACTAATAAAGTAATGGAATAAAAGTCTATTACACGCCCTCTACATTACATGCGAGTAATTTAGATTAACCTTTTATTTAATAAGTGAAATATAAATATTGTTGACATCTAAAATTGGTTCAGTAAAGATGGACCCTCCGATAGGTTTATTTGCTCTCACATTTTTATTAGTGAATGTGGTAAGTCGTTTTTTTTACTATTATATTTTGGGCTTACCTTCTAGATTCCTACCAACTGACTAATTAGACTTATTTACTGTTCAGGTTGTTTTAATACATAAATAATATACTTTTTTCAATAAAACTAATTTAATAAAGCTAACATCGCCGCCATGAGTAGCAAATACCTTTGGGTGATTATTGGTGTCCCTATTTTAAATAATTTGAATTGCTAACCTGCAGTCAGTAGTAATCTGCAGTCCCGGACCTAGGGGGGGAGGTGTGGGAGCATTTGCCCCGGGCGCCAAAATCATTATAACTTAATACAGTAAAAAAAGAAGCATCACAAAGTGTTTTTAAAATAAATTCATAATTATACTACTAGGGTGGGACAGACATATTTTCGAGGAGGGATTAGGGTGCAATGTCAAGTTACTGCCCCGGTTTGAAAAAGTTGTAGATTTGTAATTTGTACTAATGGAAGGAAGAATGGCATTCAGCGACGACTATCAAACACCATTTTGACAGTGCACCATTTTGTTGGTTATATGCAATGAGGAAGTATTTAAAAAAAAACGAAAGCTACTAGATGGCTACTCTACTAAAAGTTGATTTTTGCAAGAAACGAATGTACCAAAGACAGTAATTTCCGTTCCTTTTAACTAACCTATTAAAAAACTGTAATTTGCGAAGTTCGGAACTTAGATATCAATATATGAAAAAGTACAAACAGAATAGGAGTTGTTTATTGAGTTTTGAAAATTATTTTACTTGTAAAAATGTCATAGAGACATCAAGAAAGTACCTTAGCGACATCTAGTTTGATTTCGGGAACTATTTTTCTTTAAACTTCTTCATTAATCATTACTTAAAATCATTAGTCAAAGTGGCTCGATATAAACTTGTGCCACTAGTAAAGCTCTGTTCGACTCCTAATAGGAAAAATACGTATCTGTCTTTTGTTCTAGGTATCGAACTGTTATGAAATACCACAGTCACGAGATGTTACAAGCCGAGTGTCAGAGAAGCATCTAGACGATGTTAATTCAAACAATTTGGAGTCACGTTTTGGAAAGCTATCTAAAGTATATAAAGATTTGCTTGCAAACAAAGGTTGGAATGATAATAAAAAAAGTAAAATTGTAAAAGTCACTTACAGAAGAAGAACGAAAAAGAGAAACGGTAACCATCCTAACATACTATACAATTATGTACATTCCCATAGCGTTGTAGGCGGCAACCATAGAAATGTACCATTAGTTCATTCCAACGGGATAAACGATTTGGTTACTAGTGTTAATTCCCAATCAAGCTGGCCTAAATCATCAAGCTATTATGGTGGAAGCACATCCCAAACTGTTGAAAATGGTTTTGGGGTGCCAAGCTATTACGGTGGAAGCGCACCAGAGAGTTTTGACAATAGTTTTAGCGTGCTAAATCATTACGACGGAAGCACACCAGGAACTGTTGAAAATGGGTTTTACGGCGGAAGCAAAAGTTACGATGTAAATAATTATAATTCAAACTCCAGACTGCCTTCAAATCTCGACGATCTTCAAAGAGATGATGTAAGTAGCTGCTGGTATTATTATTGACCTAAAACAAGGTTTTTTGGTTCTTGGTGGAAATCTATATAATTGATCAATATTAAATATCTTAGTAGCACTGCAGAATTATATTTCAAACGTACAATTAGACGTTCCAGGTAGTTTACAAGTTAGTCGACATTACTTTGTTCATCATCTACAAAGGTACAGGGAAAAGCTAATTTAACTTGTTTGTATCATATATAAATTTACTAAGAAATAAAAAAAAGAGGTAAAAGCACTTTACTTTTAAATTAAGTATTATTAACATGTGTATTTTATCGAATGGTGAAAACAGCGTTCAGTAGTTTTCTAATTCATATCATACATACAAGACAGAAAGATTGTTTATTTATCTATAAATAGTTTTAATGAAGTCATTATGGCTGGATCTATATGTCATAAATAATATCAAAGATAACTCATTTTTTGATTATTTATATTACTTGTGTAATTACAGAATACGGGATCAACCTCTGATATATTTCAAGTAGCTGGAACATGGAATCGAAGACCATCAAATGCATTCCGTGTCAAATGGGTTGATAATACTTTGGACTCGAAAACCGTAAATCCAAAAAAATATTTTCGATCTGCTAAAAATGTAGCTGTTAAGGATGTAACTGCTGAAGATGTGACCAGTGAAGATGTGACCAGTGAAGATGTGACCAGTGAAGATGTAACCAATGAAGATGTTACCTCTGAAGTAATGGCTCATGATGCTGTCACAGGTGAAGGTGTGATTGTTAAAGATGTAGCCGTTGACGGTAAGACTGCTGAAGATGTTACGTCTGAACTAGATCAATATCTATTAAAAGGGGCAGATTATAATAATGTAAATGTGGTGAGCAAAAATAATAAACCTTATTGGCGAACCTTCAGAGATAAAACAGTTGAAGATGTAACCGGTGAAGATTTAAAGGTGGACGGTGAGACTGCTGAAGATGTAACATCTGAGATAAATGAAAATGTTATAAGGAGGGGAGTTCACAAAAATGTAAAGCTGCTTCGCAATAATAACAAATCCTTTTGGCGAAATTTCAAAGGTGAAACTGCTGAAGATGTGACTTCTGAAGATGTCACTGCTGAAGATGTAACTGGTGAAGGTGTGACTGCTGAAGACGTTACCACTGATGGTGTGACTGCTGAAGATGTAACATCTGAACTAAGTAAAAAAATATATTGGAAAACACTTAAAACTGAAACAGTTGAAGATGTAACCGCCGAAGATGTGACTGCTGAAGATGTAACATCTGAAGATATTACTCCTTTGCATATTGTTCGTGATAGGATTACTCATGAACATCCATTCTCTAAAGACTACATAGATGTTTCAAAATCTGATACTGGAAAAAAGTACATTCTTAAAAATGTTCCATCTACAAATGTTTTTTCTGGATACTATCCTTCTCACACACATATTCGATTTAATGGCAATAATTATGGAAAAGTGCATCATTTGCCCTATATCAGCTCATACGAACAGATATTTCAAAAAATTTTGACACAGATATGTGAAAAATCAAAGAAATTACTGAAAAGAAAACCAACCCTCCTCGTAATAAAAAAATTGAAACGAATTTCAAAACAGTTAAATGTACTTTACAATTTGCTAAGAGAACGAAATCATATTGATGTCGACTATGACTTACCTGACGATGATAATCAATCCACTGATATTGAATCGCCAGATTATATTAATTGGATTAATCCCAAAGATTCAAACGCTAATGGCAAAAACTACCGCTTCACTATAAAACAGCTGATACGAGATTTGAAGCGACTTAAACCAGTAAATGTGGATTTGGATCTTCAATTACTTTACAAAAAATTGATCAAATATTTGCAATATTACTTCCTAAATAATAACGGAAACGCTGGACACGCCAGACCGAATTTGGATTCCGTTTTGATTCCAATACTCACAGCTTTACGCAACCAACTGGAAAACCCACAAAAGTCGCAAACTCCGAAGATAACTTTGAAAATAAAACTACTTTTATCATTTTTACATGGAAAATATGGTGGTGATTCATGGAACGTTGACAATATTGATGACTTTGAAAATGGAGATGATAGTTTTGATGGAAACTATGAGACGTATTCACCGGACTATGGTCGTATTAGAGACCTAATCGATGGGTTAAATGATAATCGATTAGACCATAGCGTCAATCTACGTATTGACGTAAATACGCTAAGGAAAATACTGCCGTTATTTCAACAGAACGGTATAACTTTAGAAAACTTACAAAAACTTCTTGTATATTTATTCAAAAACCCACATTTGCAATTAAGAAGGGATTGTATAGCGCAAACGTATAAAAAAATGTTGGGAGACTCTATAAAGTTTTTAAACTATCTTTCATCTCAAAAAAATACACAAGATCCATATTATGATGACTATTTACTCAACTGAGCCATTCATATTTTCAAAACAATTATTTAAACAAAAAAAAAATTTATTGACTGTGTGAAGCTAAAACGTTTCATTATGACATATAAAAAATCCGGTAATTTTATAGGTGACGTTTCTTTGATAGATGCAAAATTGGATCCGAATAAAAATTATTCAAATGTACATATGTTTGTATTCATTTCATAATAAATAACCGAATTAATTATAAAACTCAAATAATATAGATAATATACCTTACGACATGGCGTATGCAATATTGAATCTAAAGAGATTATTTTTTTATTTATGTATATGTAACTAGTAACAAATAATCCTATTAATATTATAAATGTGAATGTTTCTTTGTTTAAATGATTGTCCGTCAATCACGCCGAATCTACTGATCGGATTTTGATGAAATTTGGTACACAGATATTAAGTGACTTAGACAATAGGATACTTTTTATTCACTAAACACTAAACATTTCCCTAGAGACCGCGCGGGCGAAGCCGCTGGCGAAAGCTAGTAAATAAATAATAATATAAGAAAAAGAAAATCATCAAAGGTGTCTTTAGGTATATATATTAACACACTTATCGTAAAGGCTCCAGCAACTTAGCATTGAACTGAAAAACATAACATTAAAAAAGCAGATTGCGTATGCAGCTAACTTTCATAACGGATATAGACATAAGGATCATGATATATGATAGCAACTGAAGAAATCGTGACACGACCCAGAGAAGAGAGAAAAAACAAAGGCCTACAAGGAATAAATTATATGTGACGCTTCGAGAAAGCATATTATTGACAACCACGAATTTGAAGAGGCAGTCATTGAGATAAACTATGATGAATGATGATTGCGAGCCGATAAGAGAGAAAAAGCCTGAAATAGTGTCTCAAAACAAGAAAAATAATTTTCAAAGATAAGACTGTAAAAATCTCTAAGAAAACCCTAGTGATTTAGAATATAATTTCGAGAGTGAATGTTTTGCTGTGCCAGGACGAAGGGGGCTGAGCTGAACGAGTAATGATCGAATGATGAATATTCCTTTCATGGCTATACATCCAAATAAACCACCTTATTTGGTGTATAAATTCAATCGTTACTAACTAACGTCAAATTAGATAGAAAATATGATTTAGATGGAATACAGAGATGAAGAAATCATTCGAAATTCAGAATCTCAAGAACATTGCTGTTAGAAAAGTAAATAAAAGATGAGAGATAGTGTGCAGAGTGATGAGCTGAAAAACTTTGTATATTGATATGCACGGTATATAATTTAACGATATCTGATACAGCATCCATTAGAGAAAGAAGGAGGTTGGCTAAAAAAACTTTTAACCCTCAGACGAAAACGCAAACGATTAGAAATATAAAGATAAAATCCTGCACTTCGATTATCATCAGCAAATTACACATACGATAAATTATTTACAATATTATCTTACCTTATTGTAATTACAAAATGAATTGTTAAAAAGTATCAAAGAATTGGATGATAGCTTACTTTACAATATTCACGGTGATAGGTAGAATGAAATAAAATTATAAATGAATCTGTCTGATAAAACATACTCAATTAAGTATACGGAAACTGTCTTTAACATTAATTCAATTATTTTAACATTCGGTCACTTCATAATTTACCCGTCTAATTTCACACTTACTAATTTGACGACTTAGTAATACATTCGATAGCTAATAACTTCCATTCTAAGAGAGCTAGCAGGCGTGATGGTAATTTATTTAGCATTTTCTTTATTCTTTGTGGCATCCAGCTTTGCAGAAGTGGTAAATGTAAGTTCAAAAACATTATTTTGTACAATTAGTAAATGAAATAGGGTACATGCTCCTTTTCTCGTGGATTGAACAGATGGCCGATGACTTAAGAGCAGCATACATGCTACTAACGGTGTGACGCTCTCTATTTTATGTCGTAAAGGAAATGTATTACGCACTGGGCGGTGTTTGGGGCTCTCCATCCGCACGGACCCGCCAGAATGCTAGTCAAAACGTGGATGATATACCCACTAAACTCACTCAGATTCACCCTCGCGTTTGTGGGAAAGGCCTGGAATCCCGCAGGGTCTGCTCCACACCTAGCCTAAGTCTGCCGTGTATTTTAGTAATGTGAATGTAAAAACCTTGATATGAACTTCACATTGATTATGACGTATTAAGCCCATATTTAGTTGGGCGTACTGTATCGCGAAATCATTTACAGAATATTTGGGCACACAATCTACGCTATTTTCAGATATGAGATACAACCTCGGTTTGTATCTTTTACAGCCCTCTCAATTTAGTTAGCATTATATCTAAGTTTCATACTGATTCGAAAATTAACAGGTAATCCAAGTACCGGATGCTGGACAAATAAAGGAAAACGTTAATTCTACACCAAAAATTGCAGAAACACCTGTAATTTTGAAGGTATTTACAGTAGTTCAATATAACGTATTTACAGTAAGGAACATCAAATTTCAGAATTGAACTCTATACTTTCGTAGTTTCTTTATATTTCAAACTAGCTTACCGCCAGCGTCTTCGCCTGCATGCTACATATAATTTTGCTGAGACAATTACCTACCTGATTATTATGGGAATAAAATGTGCAATTGAGTGTTGTAATTTTAACATTTATTCACAATACATTCATCATCATAACTAATCTAAAATATTGGGGCCCACATGACCCACTACGCGGTCTTAGTAGACGTTGGTGGATTTAACGACTGCAGATACAGTCGGGTTCAATAGCTTTGCCTCCTCAAGCATGGAGGAATTCAAGGCAATTCTGTGTTACGTATCCCATGATCAGCTTTCGAAAATGACTTCTGCAATCGCAGGCAGACGGAACGCACCAACCACTGCGCCATCAAGCTACCTTTTTTTTTAATTTAAAGTATATTTATGTTAACAGGATAACGTGCAATTGGGTCTTCCAGTCTTAAGTCATGTGATAAACGATTCAAAATGTCCTTACACAACAACTTTATTACAATTGCTGGCTACGCTACTGGAATTTCTTCACAACTCATCAGAGACCGAGAAAGTAAATAAAGCCGTAGTAGTATTAAAGTATTATCTAGAAAACGCACCTAAAGGTCCTGGTAAGGATGAACTATACCTGTTTTTGAAATATATTCAAGATTACCTTCAACATGGCAAAGGACCTTTACGTGATTATTTCACAAAAGAATCGTCCAATAATAATCCCACAACAACTATTGTATTCAAGAACAAGATACCAAATCTAGGACAGCCGCAATGTAAAGAACAATTCACTAAATTTTTACAAAAAGCTTACAGTGCCTACTTGGACATTGCCAAGTTTCCAAATTGCCAACAGATAAGTTTCTCGAATGAGGCGTATTTTATGCCTGGTGCAAAACAAGTCTATCCATTTGATGTGAACTACAACTATTCACCTAAACAATTTTCCGGTGATAACATTCATATACCGCCATCGCTTTACAATGTCGATGTAGAGCACCCATTTTACAATTTTAAATACTTTTACAATACGCCAGAAACAAAGAACAATCCCTTGAATATATTACTCGGTACACCAGAAATAAACTCCAATAAACCCGTAGAGAATTGGTCGATCATTAATAATAAAGTTCCTCAATATACAGACATACTTAGCCAATATACCAAAAATCCTCCTGAAGCCCTTGTAAATTTGGTTTCACCTCCAAACTTTGGCAATGGTAATCTGATCAATGAATCAGGGCCAAAACCTTTTAACCTTCTTACAAAACCAGAAAGTATAAAAGATGGGCATACGTATGCCCAGCTTCCTAAAGGCTTTGTTGATATGGCAATAATGCCGCACAATAATGCCTTCACAAGTAACAACTTCACATCCCCAGTGCTAGGTCAACTGAATTTATCCGGGTTAAACGATGTTATAAACAGCCCTCAAACACCGTTACTATATAATTATATCAAAGATGTGACGCCTATAGACCATAAGAATATTCCTAACACGCCAGACAACAAAGACATCGATTACAGTATATTACTTAGTCAATTAGGCTTAACACCTTTACCAGGAAGTAATAATTTGAGTAACCAAAATGTGTTTGCTGATAGCAACAATCCATTAGGCAATCTCGCATTGAACACCCAAAATATAAATCGAGACAATGCAAATACTAATAATCCTCTTGGCAATGTTTTTACTATAAACCATGGAGTGCTGAATCCACCCTTAAATAATTTGAATGGAATGCCGTATGGAATTACTAATAGTGACCTAAATAACAAAGTTACATTAGACAAGCAGAGAATTCCAATACCATACGATAAGTTTATAGTAAGTCATGATAGAACACCTTACATTTTAGAATATATCGCATCTCTGAAGAATTCAGCGAATCCAAATAGTTATTTAGGTAATCTCAATAACAATTACGGAGGGCGTGTTAGCGATAATATAGTCTCGCCTGATTTATCGCCAGGGCTTGGCATGACGAATCCTGTAAAATTACCGAACAAGGAAGGCGTTATTGAACTAACTTACGTTCTCAAGAGGCCTCAACCGTTACTTTATCATCCAGTTTATTATGTGAAATATAGACTGCCGTATGCCAAATTCGTGGAAAATTATAGAAACCTAATTTTGCAAAAGCCCGTGTTGAGAAGTGAACCTATCAGAATTTATCAAGAACTTATATCTTTATCAAACATCACCGAAGTGTCCCCAAATTTAAAAGGACATGACATGGAAGAAATTTTGAAAACCATGGCTCAAAACGGAACTTTAGTAAAAGCGAAGTTGATTGATGATAAAGACGATGTTTTGCGTGAACAATTGGAAATCGTCAAAGAATTGAATTCTAACGTTACTCCAGATGACATTAATTATCTAACAAATGCTACGATCGATCACGCTGAAATATTGAATGGTACCGAAAAAGAAACCTACACTAATTCTAAACTATTCCCAGGAACAGTGGCCGATGTGGTCGCTAATTACAAGGTGAAACCTCTGAATTTAAATGGTGTTCCTTTTGTTCATTCCTATAACAATCAATTAAACGCCCCTAGCGAAAATAATTATCCTTTTGTCAATTTATATAAGAATCGAATTCAACCTAATGTAACTCCCTTTAATAACCCGCAAGTAGCCTTTAATAATAACAAACCAGTGGTCGTTCCTGTTCCTAAAGTTGATTTCGTTTAAATTTGTAAAATAGGTTATTTAATTTGTGAAGAAAAAAATAATTTGCTAAGTAAAACGTAACCATGTGTTTTATTTACTCACCTAAGTTTTCAAAAAATCAGCCCATTTATCTTACGACGAGGTCAATATAGAAATCAGCCTTCCAACAGAGGCGACCTTGCTTCATGCCAACGCCACCTCCTAGTTGTAAATTAAATCTATAATATAGTTAAAGCGCAGTTGGAAATCAAGGTCATCTCCGTTGAAACTCTGGCTTTCAGCCACAATCTTCAGAGGGCATCTTACAATTACGTGGATCAACTTTTATTGTCAACGTAGCTAGCTAAGTACTTAGGTATTTAAAATAAGCAGTGGTAGTATCTCTTTTTTGGTCCGTTATACACGGAAATTTTGCCAACATCCCGTAGTGAGAGAGACACGTGACTCAAGAGACATCCGGTGGACTCCTTGCTGGATGGATCACGGGTCCTTCCCCTTAAGAGAGTACTCCGCAGTGGGTTTTACTAGGTAGGCCGGCCGGCCTCGCTTTAGTCTGTCCTTTAGGACGGATGCGGGGTCGGAGAGCCCTGGGTGTGCGGCGGGTTTTACGCACGCACCCCCCTCGTATACGGTACGATCAAGCGATTCTCGGCGCCGGTCACTCCCTTCATATTTTTTCGCTTCTATTGTGAATAATACTGAACGGATTAGCTTCGAGGCTTTTTCATAGTATTCGTATGTCATGTATACAAACTCAACAAATAACACAGTTTTATGTAATAAAAAAAAAATCCAACTTAAAATGCATTTGTTGTTTTTTTTTGTAACGCCGCAAGCCTTTTTTTCCGCATTATATATATATATGTAATAGTCATGATATGATGTCATTTAGTCTTCTTCTTTTTTAATTCATGGCCTATTTGCGTTTACAAAATTCCGCCAATGTCACGTTTGTTTGTGAAAATATCGTAAAAATTACAATTTTGATTTAATAAATAATATAATACATACAAACTATAATGAAAAGGCTTTTTACTTCAATTATATTAGTTTTGACAGTGAATTCAAATTTTTATTGTGTGTGTTGTAAGTGTAATAAGAAAGTATTTAAAAAATTATTTAAAAAAATAAAATTAGTTCTTGAAATCATACTAGATGCCACTCGCGATGTTTGGATATTGACTATGATATTCTTTCAAATTTTGTTTCTAACGTTGTTTCAAAAGTAAATTATGTATCGAAAATTATAAATATGACATCATTTTGTGTTTGTGATAATATCTAATTATCAAATTAATTTTAATTTAGTGTAATCGTAAGTTTATATAAGTTGTTTATTATGTTACCTGTAAAGGAACGATGTTTGTTTTATATGTCAACATTAGTGATGAGCCAACTCATTGGTTGCTCGTAACTTTCATCCGAATTCAGGTTTGGAATGAAGAACAAAAAGCGGAGCGCAGAATTCAGCTTGTATTTGTATGTGTCATTAATGCATCCACACAACGAATGATAATAATAAAATATCAAAATCAATTCAGTCTAGGCTGTTACATAGTACTTATGAAAGTCGAAAACTTTCGCAAAACTAAGTTACTGTAGGTTACACAAAACTAAGTACTGACGCACATGATACCACTGCAGAGTTATTTAAGAGATCATGACTACTCTAGGTACTTAATAAGTAATATATCTCTAGTAGAAAGTCAATGTATTATTGACAATATTATTGCGAGAATCAAAAAAGCACATATCCGCCGTACGAATTAACATAAAACCTGGCTCAACGTCCGTCGTCGACATGCAAGTTCAGTAGCGGTAGTATAATAACTGTACGTGCTTTGTGATTTTGAAATTTAAAGTTTAAACCTTGCTGTTCGTTTCGAACGTATGTTTCTTGTTGATTGCTGAATGTTTATTAAGACGATTTAATTATGTAAATAAGATTTAATAACTGATATAAATATGTGATTGAAAGTTGATGTAGTTTTACTACACACTAACTTATCTAGTTGTTATTGTTTTCAGAACTTTTGTTGGCATAAGTGGCATAAATATTTATATATGAAAACTATTTTACGGTAATATTATTGTATACCGTAGCTAAATGCGACTTTTAATAATTTCACAGCAATAATTTCATTGATTTCCATAACTTAAAAAAAACCTTCTCTATGCTCACTTCCATTATGCTAGTTTCCTATTTACTTTATACAAATAAAAAATAAATTCATTCAAAGACCTGTCTGTTGGGCACCGTGCGAGGCAGACGTGTCGCTGGAGTGCTTATAAAGTAATTCATAACCTTTCAAGCCATTTGCAAACCTATTCTTGACTTTAAAAGTGAAATTTTCGATTGAAGTCAGTGCTAGACTTACAACGTTGTGCCGCCAAGCGATCTCTGCATAAAGTTGACGAGTGTGACTACCCAACTTTGCGGAACACGGATATTGCAATGAGTGTAGTACGCTCACCATCTAGAAGTGACTTGAGAGATGCACATAGTGATCCTCAACTTAACAAAGACCACACGATCGCCTATCGAAATAAAAGAAAACAAACAGAGGAGGAACGGGATATTACAATAATAAAAAATGAAGTGACCGAATTAACAAATAAAATGACACAAGTAATGTCTATTCTAACTACTATGTCCACAAATCAAAAGGAATTTATGGAAAAAATTTCCTCGGATGTGGCCGATCTAAAAGAACAAATAAATGACATAAAGTTAACTGTGGACCACTTAAATGCCGAACACAAAACAGTAAAATCAGACGTTGCAAACTTGTGTAATAAAAATAAACACACAGAAGAGAAAATTGAAAGCCTAGTTTTGGATGTGGAGAGTATTAAGGCAACACAAGATACCTCCTCAACATCCTACAGAACTGAAAATATAGTGGCAGAAATAAGTGACCGACAGAATAGATGCAAAAATATTATAATTACTGGCATCCCTGAAAACATAGTGAAAGATAAAGTGGAAAGAATGCGTACAGACAGGAATGCGGTAATAGAATTATTAACTAAAATTTGCGCTAATTATCCAGAACCTAAAAAAGTAATACGTTTGGGAAAATTCACACCAGGTAAAAATCGGCCAACAAAAATAGAGTTCGACAATCTGACTGCAACAAAAACCATACTGAGAAACAGGGCAAACATAAAAAATGACAATATAAGACTATATTCTGATAAAACGCCTCAGCAAAAAACGTACTTGAAAGAACTTACCACAGAATTGAATGAAAGAATTAAACAAGGAGAAGAATATTTATCAATAAAATATGTTAAAAATGTGCCCAAAATAGTAAAAAACATTCCAAAAAACTAAAAACAATAAAATCGAAAGGAAACTATATTCTGCAAGATACAAATATAAACACCTACCAAGTAACCGATAAATACCAAAATATTGTCTCACAAAAGAAATCTTTGAAAATATACTATGCTAATATGCGGAGCATAGTCAAACTGGGTAAATTTGATGAATTGCAATGCATACTCAAAGGATTTGAACACGTTATAAACATTATTATTCTAACTGAAACTTGGATTAAGTCTGAAGCAGAGGCAAAATACTTTCAAATTCCAAATTACACGCATTATTATAATCACAGGATCAATATGAGGGGTGGTGGGGTGTCAATCTTCATACACAATAATTTAAAGCACTCCCATATTGAAGATGCATGTATAAACGGGCACCACTACCTATGGATACACCTTGAACAATGTCACATTGATTTTGGAGTAGTATACAGGAAAAGAGATACGAACTTACAACAATTTTTAGATGACTATTCAAATCAAATTACCAAACGCAAAAGAGCGATCATTATTGGTGACTTAAACTTTGATCTCCTCAAATCAGATCGTGCAACGATTTTGTACAAGGAAACTCTTCGTGAAAGTGGTTACAGAATTGTAAACAAGATTGATGAATATTTTTGTACCAGAGAGACCAAAGCAAGCAAAACGATTATTGATCATGTAAGCTCAAATCTGAAGGAAAACTACTTTCATATGGTTATCCTAGACACACCTCTCTCAGATCATAAACAATTATATATAGAACTCAAACGATGTCAGCTAGCACCTCCAAAGAAATTACAGTGCGAAGCTATAGACTATAAAATTCTTTATAAAACTATGCAGGACAAGTATATAACTGATCAAAGTCAATCGTATATATTAGGAGAATTAGAAGAAAAACTTTTGAATTGTATTATAAAAAGTAAGACGAAAAAAGAAAAAGTACAAAATCCTCCTCGAAAAGATTGGATAAATAAGGAATTAATACAACAAATTAACATTCGAATTAAACTGTGGAAACAACACAAACGGAATCCCAAAAATGACAATATGAGAGAAATATTTATAAAGAAAAGAAATGAAGTAGCAAAAAATATACAAACAACAAAAGCCAAGTACTTTCATTCGGCTCTTATAAAGTACAAAAATAAACCCGCGAAAATGTGGTGGCTGATAAATTGTTTGTCTAACAATAAAATGAAAGAAACATCAAACATAACATAAACAAATTGATAAACGAAAATGGACTCCATTTGAGTGACAAAATCGAAATATGTGAATGTTTTAACACTTTTTTTGCTGGTGTTGGTTCAAACCTTGCGGCTCAGATTAAGAAAGCTCCGATTAACGGTACCAAAAGTGCAGATGGCACTGGATTTGGCTCCTGTAGGCTAAATTGCCTGGAACCGGTAACTGCAGCTGAGATTTCCAAACTAATTGACAATTTAAACCCAAATACAACCTCAGGGATGGATGGCATCAGCTCCAAAGCGGTGAAATGTGTTAAAAATCTTATAATAGAGGATTTGGTAGCCTGTATAAATAAAAGCTTAGAATTAGGAGTTTTCCCTGATAGCTTAAAAATTGCTAAGGTTACTCCAATTTACAAATCTGGCTCTAAATCGGATCCTCAAAATTATCGCCCAATTTCGGTTCTGCCCGTACTTTCTAAAATATTTGAAAGAATCTTATATAAACGACTT